GATGGTCAAACACTGAAAGTCTTTTGACTTCCTCGGCGCGCAGCGGCCAGGTTTCTGATCCATATAGTAATATGGAGCGCACCGCAGCATTATAAACTCAACCCTTGACAGAGAAGCCGATGTCACGCCTACGCCACAGGTGACGTAAGTTCGCAAAAGATGCTCTGGCCTTCCCAATCCGGATGGAGATTTCCTCTTTCGTGGAGGGACATTGTAAGATAATTAGTCTTATTCTTGCGCAATGTGACTGGCGAAGAGCTACATCTAAAGCGCACTTAGATGATAACTTATACTATACGCCTGGTTGATGAGACCTTGGATGACCAGGGGAATACTGAAATAGTCATGGATGTAGCTGCATTATCATGTGCTGTCTGCCATCCCGAATTCCCGAACATTCTAGTGAAAGTACACGGGACTACTAAACCAGCAAGTGGGGGCATCGGAGCAGAGTGGACGCGAGAGCAGTAAATCCCATATTTCCACACGATGATGAGGTAGACCCCAGTCAACGAGTGTGATTCTTACGTGTGTGCCTCACAGACGCGGTTGTTCTTATATGCTGAACGGGGAACAGGACACTGAGGTCTCAATAATATGGACTGGTTTCTGAACCTAACGTGATGCAACGACTGTGCAGTCGATCAACACATAGATATGCACTGCAAAGTAGCACTCCTTCAACTAATGGGGACATGGTAATTTAATCGAAGAATGCATTTTCGTCTCATTCCGTTTCCGCTATACATATGGGGAATTTCGGCTAAAGGTGCTATTGAGTCCATTCGGCTTACATAGAATGATCTGATGGAAAGTGCAAAGAACGCGGTCTATAAACCACATAACATAATCCACCAGGCAGTGGCAGACTGTAAGCCGGTACTCTGGCCATTCCAAACAAAACAAGAATGTGCACCACCCAGAGGATGATGATCAATCGCATCATGTGTGTGTCATGTGCAGCGACAAATCGATACATTACGGGTTGTGACGATAGTGGTGTAATCGACCCGCATAGTAACAGCGCAAAGCAAACACCGCAAGCTCTCGTTCACAGTACACACGCAAGTGCCAACTAACAACGTCTGATTATAGGGACAAAAATTTATGGTTAACACCGTTGGCCAATAGGTCGCACCACAGATCACACAACGACTAGGCATGAGAGAAAAACAAAATGTAGAAGAATGAACAAGATGCTTCGGGACAGTGCGAGAAAAGAGGTGCACATTGACTGGTATGAGGGGTCAATTCTTTATGGGAATTTACATACACACACACACACACACACACGAGAAGGATGCAGACAAGGCGGGCCAAGTGCACAAGTGAGGTGCGCTGAAAAGAGGAAACATTCATGAACGGTGAATGACTCACTTTAGTTTGAAAACAAGCCATCAGATTAACCAGGAAAGGGTGCCGGGCCTCTGTGATTGTTTGGAAAATCCGTTTTTCGGCCAGTAAGGTATCCACTTCGTTGCGGAATATAATCTCTGCCTTTTTCAGGGCTTTGATGGCATAGTAGTGACTGCCGGCTTTGTACTGCGTTAGAAGCACCTTTCCGAAATGCCCACGGCCGAGAACCGCAATGCACCGAAAATCCAGCATGCTGAGCGCCGGACCTCGTTTTCGTATGCTGGGGGCTAGAAAGAAAATGACATTAATTTGATATTAACTCGAGGTGGCTATCAAGTAGACCTACGGTATATGGTATGCACAACAAACTCTGTTAGAAAACGAACGGTGTGTTTCAAACTTAGCCAACGAAATGCATCTTTTGAAACGAAGCAGAGACTCTGCAAACAAACGGACACTTTATCAGTACAATACACTGAGTTGGATCAAATGTGCATCGCAAACTTGAGATGAACATCGATGGTAAGTGGTGAAGGATCCGGATTACATGATGACGGTGATGCACTTACACATTTCAGTCCTGTTGCGATGTATCAGGTGAAGTTAGCTAGGGGCTCGGAAAGCAACAGCACACAGACCAGAAGTCTATGCTAGCTGCCGTATCAGATAACCACAAGGATACTGAGTTTGATAGGGCCACGCTTACATTACAGTTCGACAACCCGTAGTCTACATGAGGACAAAACCCACCTTTCACTGTGAAAATCCCCTCCTTACTTATAAGCACGCATAATCAAGTCCAGCTGCCGCTGTGCATCCCAGACTATCAGGTTCCACACAAAGATCCAAACCTTTGTTTGAAATGCCGTTTCACCACTCCCAGTGTAGTGACAATTCGAGGCAAGTGCGGTGTTTTGAAACTAGTAAAGAGGCTAAATGATTGAGTAATATGCTAGTTTGGCTAGATAAAAGGTTATAGATGCAACTTAACCCGTTGGTTGGCTCAGTAGTTAGAGCGCGAATTTACTGACCGGTAGGTCCATGGTTCGAACCCGACCTCTGCATCCCAACTTCCCCTGTCTAGGCTTGGGCAACCTGGCAGTATCCCAGCTCTCGTGCTTCCTTCAAGTGACATGGCAGCTAGGTACCAAAAAGGTGTTACAGCTGAACGATTGATTGACGCCCTGAAAGTAAGTCGTTCTATGCGTTCGAAAGAGCAGTTGGAGGGAACGACAAAGCACCATGGTGTTCACTGGTCTCGCAATGACACGAATAAGTTGGTCAGCGAGCTAAATAACAGTAAATTGAGGCGAAACAGAAAGCTATACGCGAAACTCCCTCGCTTCGGGGTATAAGCTCACTGCTTCGCCAAGTTGGGCAATGCGAAAAAGTGAACAAATTGTATTGGTGAACTTGTCAAACACGACTCATTTGCTCAAGATTTTGATAATACATGGGAAACATTACTGAGTTTCAGCATGGTGAGAACTTTTTGGCGCCACATCCTCTTAGGAGGCTCTGGGATTCAAACTTGCTGGGGCAAACGCTTTCGTTCAGTTCATATATATCTAAATACTATACTATATCGTTCAGCTGCAGCACCCTTTCGGTGCCTAGCTGCCATGCCGCACGAAGCAGGCACGAGGGCTGGGATACTGCCAGGTCGCCCAAGCCTAGACAGGGGAAGTCGAGAGGCAGAGGTCGGGTTCGAACTATGGACCCGCCAGTCAGTAAATTCACGTTCTAACCACTTGGTCCATTTCGCCCCATCTCGTTCAGTTCACGGAGGGGTGTCTATTAAATAATAAATATCCGAAACAGTTTTGGAAAATCCTCCGTATACCAGACATATTGTGAACACTGTTCTTGACCGCACAGATGTATTGGACATAGGCAACTCCGAGAGACAATGTTTTGGAAAAACTCAGCCCCATGGAGAAACTATATTTCTAGGATTATGTCACATAGTGGTGTCCACATTAAGGCCACATGGACCGGTTAGTATAACAGATTCGAGCCAATACACGCGGAATTCAACCCAGTCCGTAGCCTCACTTAAAGAACTCTGAAAATCTGTTTCCTTGATACGCTCGAAGAGAAATTGGACAGGCTGAAGGTAACTCTACGAAAAACGATTACCCTCAAGGATGCATTAAAACAAATGAATCAGAGCAAAAACAATGTGAGCCATATACCACTACTGACAAAAACGTGATCAGTCAGTTCACAAATTGAACTACCAGCCGCTCGATTCAAAGACTGTCGAAAAGTAACCATGAACATTGCCCAGCCTCAGTGGGAACTAAAATGTTGGGTATTACGCTTATCTCTTGATACATCACGTGGAGGCCAGCTACTAGGTTGGTGTTAAAAACAGCACTCATATTCATTCATCGCGTCTGCCACACGAGTTGAAAGAAAATGGTTGTAAGCTATTTCAGGTGTACGTCTGTGCGATCCCACACCGCATATTCATAAGTATTTACAGGTTTTGCAGTTGTCATCGCCGCAGTCCGTATAAAATGGCACAAACAGTCAGTGACAGGAATAGTGGGTTAAGAATCAAAATGCCAAGAAAACGCCAAGTCTCCAATATCCATCCTAATCCAGCGCAAATAGTCTACTTCGTCTGTGTTATTGTTTTCCGTCCTCTTTACCCGCTGGCTTCCACTTGTGATGCTTAATATTTCCACAAATGTGAGGGCGAGTTGGTAAATTTGTCAAAAACGATATAACTATTCAGTATTTTGTGTTCTGACAGGATTCTTTGGCGAGTTTAAGTGTACCGACTACACTATCAAAGGTCCAGTAAGATTCTAAATGTGTTGGCAATAATTTACCCCGGTTTTTTTACCCACAAACATCTGGCTAGTTGAAATGTCATCGAATTGACTATCTCCTCGGATAGGATATGTCAGCTTCAATTATGACTCGCATTGAAGCTAACAGGAGACAGGAAAGTATGTATCAATTTCCCAACCACCAAGGAAAACTCTAGTTTTCCCACTGCTAATGATGCGTACATTCGTCGAACTGATTGTTGTTTTTTGGAATCAGGATGTTACACACAATCCAGTAATGCTCCTGCCATTCAGTTGGTCATCCGTTGTTTCACCCGCTTTCGTAATGGCCTATACGTAACATGTGACCAATAGCATGTCCCAAGTAAGCGAATGTCAGGTATCCCGGGAGAAAAAATGACCTGACGCTTAGTAAACACGGGAACCGTTAAATTTTCAACTGAATTCGACAAAGTGCATGCGAAAAAAATCTCAACAAGAGGTCACGTGCCTTAACTCCACCACTCCTAATTCACATGTCTAGAAGGGGAGATATCCATCGTATCAGGTCACCTGTGTTCGATGAAGTTAGGTTGACCATCTCCTATTTTGTAAGCTTTCACCCTGAAATAACGCAGCTTTGACGGACACAAAGGGTGACATGGATAAGATTTCCCCGGAATCGTTAGGAGAGTCGTAAAAATGCTTAAGGTCGTGGTCAACTGTCGTAAGACCATCCGAAATGAAGCGGTTTGGTGAAGTCTTGGGATATTTGCACATAGCAGTGGCCTTACACATGATACGCGAGCAAAACCGCTCCTCTACCATGCGATGTCAACATCCTAAAGAATCACGTGCACATGATATGATCATGCAACATCAGGTGGGTCAACTTATTCGTAAGTGAACTGCACACGACCAATGGCAAATATGCACCAAACGTAATTACGAATCCGAACCCAGTGTTAAATTCATTCAAAACGAACGAGTTACTTGGTGTTCGTGGTTCCAAAGAAGTGAGCTTATGTGGCGGGGAGATGGAGGACGGCTCATCTGCATTGTAAGCAGACTCAGGTCCAATTGATCGCGCTCGTTGATTTTTCGAAGCCACGGATAGATTCGCATAGTCATCCGTTTTTGGAATATCAGTTCCGGTCATTGTGGGGACCCCAGGTATCTGGAAATAATCAGAACGAACGTCACCCGCAACATCGTAATCTGGTCGGAGTGGAGGCCTATCGTAATCCTGAAGCGAAGAGGACGTGTGCATGTCCGGACGGGGACCTGACGTCAGTTTGGCTATATCGTCAGTTGAAGAGGACTGAAAGTGAATGAAAGGAATAACGTGACTGAAATACCTCTGAGTACCGTCACGATAAAGCAGATACAAGGAATTAAGAGTATTGCGAACCTTGGGAGGAGTGGGGGTCCTCGTAGCAGACGGTCTGGCAGGGTAAAGTTTGTCTTCCTCGCGATAACCCCGCGGAGGAACTGTGACAATGCGTTCATATCCGCCATCCTTCTCTGAGGGGAATGCAGCTGGGGGTGTTTGGGCCTTGTTTGCTGAAACTTTTTGTTTTTCTCCCGGTTTCATCTTTTTATACGAAGTAAGAAACAAACAGAAAATGGTCAACGATGAGCGTCAACATTGCATATGTAAAATCAAGACATTTGTGCACCAATATTAGCTCATCGACAATAACGGTTAGAAAAAGGAAAAATATAGAAGACACTAAAACAGCTTTGGTGAACGTGTTCGGACGAAAATTCCGTGATTTCCAGATGAGTTCTTTCAAAATGATACATTCTGAAGGATTTGGGGACTTGTGAAGTCACCGCTGGCTCGTTGTTAAAATTACAGCCAAGATTAATAACAGGCATGTGAACTGGCAAAACCCTCTCAAGAAGACAATTTGCTGCTAATTTATGAGTTTTTTTAATGAATACGCCCACCATTCATTCCGCTTGGCCGGGCAGACTAAGAGCAGCGAGCCAACGTACGACAAGCAACCGTAATGTGGGGCGGTCTGGAGGTGGTCCCACTATCCTCCACAATGAAAGTGTGGAGTGAGTAGGTGTTCTCAGAGAGGCTTGGTAAACTATCGGTGGAGTTATTGCGTTGCGCTTTTGACAAAACTAGGTGTTTTCTTCAAAGAACAGGGATGGGTGAGAAAAGACCGGCCCTAAAAACGCACACCCCGATCCCGCAACGGCTGACCATAACCACTACGGCAAAACACAATAAAAGTTTAACAAGAGCCAGGTGAAGTTCTGAATGCAGTTGATATACATCGTAACATCAAGGTGAGAACTCTATGCTGAGTTCCCACGTCCTCGAGTCAGGCCACTGTCCCACAGCCAAGTGGATCAGACTATTGAGCCATTAGGTCCAGGCAGAGTCCGAAAGTAAACCTACTACCCACTGCCTTGTGTTTCGGACTTTTGAGCGAAGGGCCCTAGGTGGTGTACGTTGAACGGAACCCCTTCGTCCCTCATAACCAGGGAACATCATTCACTCCTGCAGTTCTTTGTTTACCGGACGTACTCTCACCTACTCCCCAATCTTCAACTGCTCCACTGTTATCACTTCATTTGCCAGTCCTTAACCAGTCTCTCGTCCAAAGTATCGCCCTGGAGAATTAATTCTTCCTAAACTAAAAAGATTTTGTTCACATTGGAACCTTCAATATCCGCATCCTCTGGCAAGTTGAACAGCAAGTATCTCTTTCTGAAACAATGTTTCACCTATCTGTCTCCATATTGTCGCCGAAAACGAATACAATACCACACATCCGTCAATCACACCAAACCGCTTAGGATGAGCTCAGATATTTCATATTTAACTCTTCGGGTGGCTGGTGATCCTGGTGATCCTATGGAGACTGCGCTCAGTCGAAAGCGCTTTACTGGATTCCAGAAAACAATCGTCTTTGCGTTATATGGTTGTTCGCTTTAGTTAGAGCCAATGCAAGTGGATGCGGTAAATGATGTCAATTTGTCACATCAGCATACGCTCCGACAGAATGCAGTACTGGA